TTACGTTATTACCTAATTCACAACGTTGACGGTAACATATAATATAATACATATGATATTACATAATTTTTTTCAATGGGATTACGATGACAGTTCATGACCGGTCCTTTGCAGTTTGTTACTCTGCCAGACAATTCGTTTTCGGTCTTCTATAATATTATATCTTAACGGTGATGAATAAAATATCGTCGCATGTCAGATGAACTATCAACGAATTATAAGTACGTTGATAAGGAAAGCCATGTTTCCGACTCGACTCGATATTACTGACGACCTCTAGTTTATCTAGTTATAATATTAATATATATGAATAGTGAATACGTCATATAAAATGATATATTATGATCATTGAGCAGAGATTGCTATGATTAAAATAAACAAAATTAAGTATTATGCGTGTGACTATTTGTTCATAAGCAACAATCAAGTGCCACTTTGACTTTCTAATGTTCGCAATAATGACAAATAATAACCTCCCGTCCCATTATATAAATATTTGCGATGACTATGTAGTATGTAGGCATAAAATGGCGACAAAACATTCACAAAAACGAAACATTCAGTTGTTCGTTGTCACAATGATTGGACCTATAAAAGCATCAACTCAAGCTCTACTAATTTATTACAGTTCTTAATCTTTCGAACCTTCAATATAATTTAAACTTATCCGAGATAATTTAATATTGAAAATATTAAATTCGAAAACAAAAATTATACAACTTTATAACATACAACTAGGTATTATTTATATATAATTTGTATAAATGTTTATAAAACAATTCCAATTTCATTATATAGTTTTTGTAATTACCAAATTTTGTTTGGAACTTTTAAAATAATTAAATTGTAAAATAAAAAATTATAGCAATATTCTGCAATAAGAGAAAATCGAAATCAAAGACGAGTCGAGTTGTAGATATAACTTATAAGTCATGTGTCCCACCCTGGAATAGTTTCTTTTATTAAACACAATAAAAATTACATAAATATATAATATATATAATATTTATTTTGAGCTAAATTGTCCTTGCTATGAACTGTATAGTTGATTACAGTTTAAATATAATTTATATTTGTAAGCGATGATAAATAATCCAGATATAAATCGCTGCATTCGAAATTCGAAAAACGAAATAAAAAATGTATATAGACTATATTAGTATTATAATATAATATATAGATTTGTAATCTCTTGCGGAAACCACTGCTTCCTGCAGTCGTTTTAATAAAATTATGTACAGTCCAACCTTATAACTTTAGTTACCTATAAATTATAATATAATATTAAATTGAGTATACAATTTTTATATTTCTATACAAAGATATTTACAATCTATCTATTTATATACGGAATAGGTAGATATGATAAGTAGACGTGTTATAATAAAATAATTATTAAATGACATTTTTGTTGAAAGAAGCCGCCCCCACCCATTGACGACCAATTTAAAATTAATTAGTAATTAATATAACTTAAAAATTCTAAAAAAAAATAATCTAAAATAATGTACTTAAAATAATTTTATTTTTGTCAATATAATATAGAATTATTAATAAAAATGTTTAGTTGACGACCGGCAGTGTTCAATTAATAAAATAGACAACATAATATATTCTATATGTTATCCTCAGGTGCAGGTTGGGTGACGATCCGATCATTAAAATAAATCCTAACTATCCGAACCTAGTGTAATTTTAAAAAAAAATAAAAATTTTAAATATATATTTTCAAATTTAAAATATATAAGTCATACTCTAAATAGCAATGCTTCATCAAACATCAAAAGTAACATGAATATAAAAAAATACCCAAAAAACCACGAATTATGTAAAAAATTCGTAACCTTAAAATTCGCTACCTATATTAGAATAGTATGCACTTGAAACGAATTACCTTGTAATTTGGAAAGCAACGTGTTTAGACGTTAAAATAAATATGAAAATAAAGTCCTAGTTTTAATTATTACCATTGCAGTTAAAAAAAAAAAAAATGTTTTTATTAATTTAAAAGATTGCAACACCATTAGCTTTATAGGAGTCTCGGAGGATTACCCAGAATGGTTTAGGACTATACATTTTTAATAAGTGGATTGGAACGGTGAAGTAGTTTATTGTCGAATCTCTTACAAAAGCATTTAGCCTCTATTCATGTACTGACATTATTCTGAGATCTTTATAAAGTATCTGATTTTAAATGAATGGAGGAGAATTTTAAGTTGATTTAAAAAAGGAATATTTTGAAAATTCTGAATTATATTTAAGTTAGTTTTCTTAGCACTTCTTCATAACTGAGAACCATGAGACTATAATTAATTACTTTTTGTTTTACGATGTTATAGTTTAAAGTTTCAACAGGACTTGTCGGACTTCAGATAATTTAATCATTTAATGTTTTTTTAATTTGTATTCAGCTTCATAAATGACGTAGGAACAATATTATAATAACGTTTTCGCTGCGATAACGAACACGAGTGACTTGTTTTATTAAAGGTCAAAGAATTTAATAATTATTATTAAGACATAAAGCTATAGTTCCTAGTGTGTAAAGATTATAGAATGAAAACTTAATAACTGCCAATATAATTGAATGGAATCAGTAAAAAAAGACAAAGTTTAAAAAGATTTGAACGAAAGGAGATTATCTTGGCGTATTGGGTGCAGAATTGTATAGTTTCGACTGAATCTGTCGTAAGTACATTATAAATATTTGTCAGACGTATAAATTTGAAACACAAGCATGCAACGTTCCGATTTTTGATCAACGGTGTCCAAAATCCAAATGTTCAACAAATAGTATATCCTTAATAGAATACAATTTCACGGCCCACTGAACACTGCCCCCTCCTCTACATTACATAAACGAAAATTACTATAAAATAAACTCTCAAAAACTATATGTAGGTACCTAATATGCTGCAGTTATATAAACATTTTGATGAAAATGTATGCAAGACAAAAATTGTTCTATTCTATTCAGTACTATAGTCAAATCGTAGACAAACCAATGTATTTGAACGTACTTGAATTAATAGAAATCTTGGCCCTAGGTATTTATGATATTTTAACGGCAATTTAAAAAAAACTATGACGTCATTTGTCTATGAGGACGACGGGCTATCTATAATATATATATATATATATATACAGTGGCGTCCGCAGGGGGGATAACGGGCTGAAGCCCCCCCTGCCCGTATTATTACTTTTTAAAAAAAAATTAATTAAGTTTAAACTATCAACTATAGTAAATTTCATATATATCTTACCAGAATGAATTCATTTTTGAAAAAACATTGTATTTGCATACCAATTTTCATAAATTATCTGTAATTTTTCGGTAGAAGTATGGACTACTTGTATGAAAGACCTTGTATTATATTGTCTAGCCTTAGTTATACATACTTTATATTTTATAAGTTTTGAACTACAAATTAACCATGGTTTTGACGAAATTTGAACTTTAAATGCTTATAGAAAATAACCATGATGCCTATATATCGTTAATATTTTAGCTATAATAAAAAAAACTTACGTCTTATACATTTTAAAAGCTTTTTGACCGGATAAATAATTTTTTATTGACATTTATAGAAAAAAAATTTTAATTAATCAAATACAATCCAAGTTAGGACGGTATAACCATGTTTGTTACCAAACAATTTAAATACATTTTTTTTCTCTCATTATTTTTAAAAGTACTGAGAATTTTCAATTTCGACCTCCTAAAAGTACTAACTAGATCCAATTTGCTTCCAAAAACATACACTGGGCATCGAAGCTTATGATCAGAGCATTTTTTCTACCAGAAAAGTTGAAAAATTACAAACATTTTAAAATACCCCAAATAAACGTCTGCAATTATTAGACTGGACAAAATAAAAATAAAATTGTAACTAATTTTCAAGCCCCCCCCCCATTGAAAAATCCTGCGGACGCCAATGTATATATAGCGAGGGTGCTATTATTTATCGAGCTGAGGGGCAAAACACGGTGAAAGGGGGAGGGGGGAGGGGGGGGTTGGCGATGTCGATGGTTTTTCCAATTTTTCCCGTAGGCGAACGCTTACTTCACACGATAAAACGATACCTTTATCGTTTGAGCATAATGCATCGATAAAAAACAAATTTGTTGCCGTCACTTGCGTATAAGCGGCGTACCTAATATATATATTATATTTTTATAGTGAGCAGCAGCAACAGCAGCTGTCCAAACAATACTCTTTCCCCTCTCCACGGTGCTCCCCACCCCACAAGGGAGGGAGGGTCGGTTCCTTGTACCATAACAATAATAATAGGTAAAACTAGGTACGTTATTATTATTGTTTATAGGTAGGTACAGCGGGGCCCGGCAGTGTACATAGTACATATATATATATAGACATATAGTACAGTTATTACGATAACTTTATATGGGTTTATATTATATATATATTTATATATTATAATAGGTATAATATTAAAATTCAGGGGCTAAATTTCAATGAAAAACTAGGACTGCCGAGTTTACCAATTTGTTCAGTTAATCTTGTTTACACGCGATGAGAAATTACACGACCCTTCCATATTCATCACATCCCTTGCTTTAATAGATAATAGCCACATCAAATGTAATAGTGGCTTTGTACTGCAACACCGTCATATTGATTTATAACAATATAAAATGTGAACTAATTAACCACCACAAACGGCATCGATGTCATGAGGGTGCTCATTTCAAAACAGGGGCACTAAGCACATACAAGCTCCCCCGAATTTCGCTTACATTACTATATACCTAATATATTGCGAACGACAACACTTTTTGGCCGCCGTCTATACGCGCACACGTACTTATGTATATGTCCACTTTAGGTATACCCGACTTGATCACAATAAGCGGCGCATACCGCGCATACCGAGCATACCTTTTTTTTTACAACGTGCGCTATATAGACGAAACGAGAAGAAGAATTTATCATTTTTTTGTATTATTATTGTATTATATATTATTATTATTATACTCACTCGTCGGAACCGCCTCCGCCGTCCTTTTGTTTCGACGAACAATAGTTTCCCATGTCGTCGCCACCGCCGGTTTCCGACCGCCGAAAACGCCGCGCTCGTGAAGCCCGGACCGCCGACTATTAACACTACTAACGGCGACAACAACGACGAGACCGGCACCGTCGCCGACGCCGCCGCGAAATCGTCATCGTCATCGCCGTCACCACCGCCGCCGCCGCCGGACCGACGGACGTAACGCGCGCGAATCCGTTTTCCCGCGGCGGCGCGAATAAATAAATCCCGAGAGACGCTACCCCGCGACAATTATTGTCGTTGTGATTATCAATATTATAATGTGTCTTGCGGACGCAACTATAATGACATCACACGGTCATAAATACTATAACAACAATGATAATACGACGACGACTATAATATTGTCATTTTACGAGGAACGAACTATAACAATATTGCATAGCCGTTTGGTCGTCGTCGCCGTCGTACAACTACCGTGGCGCGCGGCGGCGTACAGTACGGGTACTATATTATATGGTAGAGAAAATAGTACAACCGAATACGCGCGCACGGGTTTTTCCACGGGATTGGAGCACGCGCGCGCGCTCTCGGTCTTCCTCGCCTCGCCGCCGGGAACGCAAGTGCGCGAGCGACAACACGCTTCGCGCCGCCGTCGCCGAGACCAAACGGACGGGGAAAAAGATAAAAACGGTCCGCGACGACGCTCGAAATAGACCGCTCCACGCCGGCGACTACGTTGCCAAAACGCAACCGGAAGCGGAAAGACTGGAAGAGTTTCGCAGCGGACCGTCGTAGCGATCATACGTGTAGCTGGTGATAAAAGTGTACCTACGTCGCGAGAACAACGACGAAATATTATGATCAAATTTAATAATCGTGTTCGGCGAAATTTCCTCCCGCTCGAGCGGTTTTTCCAGACGTTGCCCCTCCCACTAGAGAGACAAGGTCTGCGTTCCGGGAAGTGTCGCGGTTGCCACCCCCCGGCGGGGAGGCATTGATTATTTGATGACGACGACGACGACAACGTTGCCAAGTGTGTTTCACCACACAACCCCTAGCGCGACCCGCCCAAAGAGCTCGTATATATACACATTCGGCGGTGGGTTGTTTTTACACTGAATTTTTCGCGACGTTTATGCTACCACCCCATAGGCAACCCTTGTTACCCGATACAATACGAGTCTAAATTCAAAATAAATAATAATAATATATTAAATAAACACTTTAAATTATTTATTTATTTAATTATATTAATATTAATAATATAAGTACAATATTGGTGATACACCATAAAACAAGGTGTGTTCTCCTATTTAATTCATTCAGACAACACAATAATATAGGATGGTGAAACACTCTAATATTACTCTAGAATAATAAGAAAATTATTTTTATCTTTAAAAATTACATTCCATAATTATTTCATATAATAATAGTCATCGGGTGGTTGATTTAGTTTTAAATATTCAACACCGACCGACAATTAAGTTAAATAATAATAATAATAATAATAATAATAATAATAATAATGATAAAATTACCAAAGCGCATAAAAATAGTGTAAGTCTTATTAATCAGTGGAGTCTGTAAATATTACGTGCTTTAAACAAATTAATTTGTATTTTCCTAATACAACATTTCGGACTATTCAAAAAACAAAATAATCAAATTAAAATATCAACTAGTATTACTTCAGAAGTTCAGAATATAAAATTTAAGTTCTAATTTCTAACACATTTTATTATAAAAAAAAATTTATTTTATATTTATTTTCCCGTTATATTTATACATAAACACATAATTTTATGTATTCGCTTATTAATGGTTTTATAGTAGAGAATGAGGTGGGAGGAGAGGAGATCAAGCTAATGGCCGTACGTGATCGCTTGCGCCACACCGTTGATAGTCTTCGATTTGAGCATATCGTTTTCATACGTTTCCACTGTTTCTGTGTCAAGTTCGGAAATCCTACAAAAATTATTTTTAACAAATCAATTCTAAAATGTTTAGATAAAGTTAATATGTATATTAATCTTTGTAAGTACAAACCTTTTTGTGGTAATTTTTTTCCCATTTGAAAACCGGGTAGATATTGTTGTTCTTTTCATATTGCCACCGCCATTAACGCTATGACTAGAATATCCATTATTTGCCATTGTGAACATATTATCAAACCCAGAACCAAAACCACCTCCAAAACCGCCAAATCCAAATGGATTCATCATTGAAGATATTTCCTGATGTCCATTGTTGAATCTTTGACCTAGAAAAACAATCATCAACAAGGGTGTAAGACAATTCATCACATTTTTAGGAATGATAAATCAATATGAAACATTATGAATATACCAGGGAATAAAAGATCTGTAACATCTGATGTGTTGAAAAATTCTTTGAACACATCTTCGGGATCTCTGAATGAAAAGCTAAAGAAACCAGGTCCAAAATCTTGGCCAAATGGATCGTAGTGACCTGGATGTCGTTGATTATTTCGGCGACGTCCACCATTTCCAGCACCACCGTTTATCAAACCATCTTTGCCGTATTGGTTGTAAGTCTTACGTTTTTTATCTAACAAAATAAATCAATGAAATATAATAACCATTACAATCATGAAAATGTTAGTAGTAATGACAAAATATTATGTAAAAAATGATTATTCGCATTAAAAAAGCGCCACTTCTTATAGATTACATGCTCCAGCTCCAATAGTATTTTGAGGTTTAGTAAGGTTTAAAACTGGTACGGGTTACATATGAATGGCATATTAGATCAACACAACGTAAACTATAATTTAGGGATTCTACCGAAATAACGATGGAACGGGCTTTCAAAGAAGTTGTAGAAGAACGGTCTGGACGATGCGGACACTTTTCTTTTACGCTGTTCATCGTACAACTTTCGCTTTGCCTCTGTTAGACATATACACAATATATTTATATTTAAAGGCATACCTATTTACTTTAACGAATATTATATTATACTCATTATTTTCTAAAATAATTTGTGATTTACAATTTTTAAGTCTATTCATCATTATGGTTCTTTGTGAAACAATTAGCTTTTAATTATTAGCAGTTGAAATAAATTACTTAAATTAAGTTAAAGATATGTTCAGTTTTTTTTAATGTTTCTTTAAAAGCTAATGACCTCATCATATATATTATATTACAGAGTAAATAGTAAATACATATTAAATATAACATAACAATATATTTCTTGTTATATACCGTCAGATAAGACTTCATAGGCTTCTGATATTTCTTTAAACATTCGGTTTGCTTGTTCTTGATTTTCTGGATTTTTGTCAGGATGCCATTTCAATGCTAATTTTCTGTAACTGGAAAACAAAAACGGGAAAAATTTAATTTACATACTATATATTCTTACAGTTTATATAGAGAAGTATAGAGTGCGTACGATTTTTTTATATCGTTAATCGAAGCGTTCGGAGTGACTTCCAGTATAGAATAATAATCTCCAGACATACTGTGTAATATATTTTCTGGAACTTATGTGTATTTCCTGGAAAAAAAAAGTTTCAGTTTATTGTGTCAAAAATATTCAAATCATTAATAAGTTCAGTAGTGAGTGAATCATTACTGATGTGGCAGTATAGATTAGCGCTTAGTAGTGTCACACATACACACACACAATTGACCATTTTATTGTTGTGAAGTGATTTTATGGCGATACGGTTCGATACACAATAAAAGTAATCATACTTGTTATTATATTGTACCTCCATGAACTCTCATGATAACGGTTTGTAAATTTTTTATTATTATTTATTTTATTTTGAACTACACGAGTTTTTTTAGATACCTACAATAATAAATTATATTATGTTTTTATATTTAAATATTTTTACTAAATAATTATAATAAAATATTAGTAAGCATGATAGCACAACAAAATTGACCTTGAAAATCTTAGAAGTGAAAATTTTCAAAGCCACATTCAATTATTTATAGAGGTCTTTTTTTCCTTTTCCTGGTCATCGCGCGTTATTAATAGTATACAACTGCGCGAGTGAATTATGATTGACGAAAACCATTTGGATGAAAAGATTTGCCAACTGACCAGACGACAATATTATATGAGACCGATATAAATTCAAAACAAATAGCTCTAGTTAGTTCACAGAACGATCTTTATAAATATTTAATATAGATTAAAAAAATTAAGACCACCCAGTTTAAACTTTAAAGTTGACGAATTTAGTATATTTATAAATATATTTTTTTTTTGTTACTCCCACTTGCAGATCTAAGCATAATTATATGCTATAGATATAAGTATATAAAGTACGCGAACTCTTTAATATATGTATATTGGTTAAGCTAATAAAAAATGTTTTGTTTATAAAATAATTTAATAATGTATTTATAATACCTACATTTAAATATATAATATTATTAACTTTATTTTGTGAGTTGACTTTGAGAATGGTTGAACATTAAATAACAGTGGATTTGGGAGTATAAAATCATAGAAATTAGGTAAAATCTGGCTAACTTATTTCTTAAACTTGAATAACTCAAATCTCAGGAAGAATTACACTTACAGCGTACAGGAAATAAAAAATGTATCATAACAGTAATATAAAATATATACTTATATATAATATAATATAGGTTAGTACAGTTAGGTAAATATTTAAAAAGTAAAAACGCAAATATAAGAAATCAAAATATTAAAATATTATTGAAGTGTGTAAAAGAAATAATTTTTGAACACAATATTTTATATAGACATATAGTACCGATCATAAGTATACGGTAATCACCTAACATATAACATTACCAAAGCTTGAATATGTAATACAATGTAATGTTTAAGTGCATTATTAATATACGAATAATAGTCTTTCTCTTCTTTTTAGAAAATGAAACTAATGGATCGAAAGTCAAAACTCTTTCGTGTTCCTCAGTAATTCACTATACGCATAGGTATCGGTATCGATTTCTAAAATATAATAATATTAGAATATAAAACTATCTAAACACGTCGAAATACGCTACATTGCAAGAAAAAAATATTATATTACACCTACGTTAAGTTCTGACGTTGAGGCGTTCTGCTTTTGCAATAGTTATTGAACAGATGTTCATAAAAAATTACTGTAAATCAGTTGTTATTTAAGCTTAGACTAGACGATAAAAATGTTAAAAAGTAAATGAAATTCTGTAAAAGTTACGTAGGGGTCCGATTGTCTAACATTCTGAATCTAGGTGAATCATGAGATCATGACGTGACACAAATTACACGTATAAGTACGGTATACGGTAAAACATATTATAGGAACCATCCGCTGACTAATAATCGGATCCGGGAAATTGGTGAACTATTACAACACAAACAAGTTCATGCAAGCTCGAATTAAGATCACGTAATATTTGGAAGCTTTATACCTAACAAAATGGTTAATATTTTTCTGATACTTTTTGTTTTAGACATTACTATCGGTACATAATTATTTGTTTTAATTTTTATACATATATTACGTATTTATGTGTACCTATTTGGTTTAAGGAGATTGAAAGAGGTGATTAACTGTGCAACATATAGGAATATTTAGATATGTTATATTTCCAACGTACCGATTGATCTAGTAAAGCGATAAGTATTCTGAAAACAGATTTAAATAATTGTTCGTTATAAATAAGTACTTGAAATCGACTATCCAACATTTTTTATTTTTTTCCAAAAATTTAAATACCATAATATATATTAATTCATCTCAAATATAAAATAAAAAAAAATGTGGGGAAATCGCCCTCAAGTAACTTATTACAATCAATGTTTTTAGAATTCTTATCGCTTCACTGGACCAATCAATTCCTATGCTAAACACATAATCACCGTTCTTAATCCTCTAAAAAGGGTCTTCAATATAATTTGTTTTCTTCTTGAGATATCTTAAGATGCTACTTGCGCATTATGCCAGTGGCGTAGCCAGGAATTTTTTATGGGGGGGGCTAAGTATACAAATACAATGTGTTTTTTATTTACGCTTTTAATTTTTTTATTAATCTTGATAAAATTATAAGGTCAACATCGGTCAATGGGGGGGGCTATAGCCCCCTTAGCCACCCCCTGGATACGCCACTGCATTATGCGATATCGTGGCTGTGAGAGGTAAATTATGTGGCAAAATGCTACTACCCCAGTAGCCACTTCTCTGTATTTCACTCATTGTGAGGTACTGATTAGATTGTTGAAATTTAGTTGTTCTAAGTTATAAGTTATAAGTTTATAATATATTATTACAATATTATAAAGAAAGTTATTAATACATGCAAAAAACTGAAAAAATTTAAATAATTAAATATTTGTAAGTTTCTTAAAAATTAAAAAAGCTTTTGGTAAAAGTAAAAACACAGGAAATATTATTGCCTATAATTATAACAGGTAATTTATACCTTAATAATTTCAATGATGTCTTCACAATGAGTAAAATACGGAGATCTTTTTACTATACGGTACATTCTACGTGTGTAGGGCGGATAATTTTTTTAAGAAGCACCCTTTAAAGAAAATTGATAAATATGCATTCTTTTCTATGAACACAAATAATGTGATAACGTGAATAATTAAAACGTGATTAAGACACCATCTTATTTAATTTCAATCGTAGCTTTAAAATACACAAGTGACATGCCATAATAGTTTATTATATTTGATTGTTGTATACGTAATATGCTATAAGAATAAATTTACACTAAATTAATATTTTGTACCGCTATAAATAAATAATAACGTTATGGCTAACATAAACAATTTACTACTATAGCACAATATCACATATTATAATAGTGTAGAATATTATCATTTTCTTCTTTATGTTTCAAATATTGATTTTTAATTAGAAATGTAAAAACTATATAATTATCTTAATAATTTTTATAGATACGTTTAGATTTAAAAACACCTTTATTCCTGGTAGAATATGGAACAAATTAACCATTAACGACTACCCATAGCGTGAATTATGAATAATTACAGCTAATAAAAATACCTTCTGAACAGTATTTTGTAATTTAACGAAAATTAATCCAACTATATAGGGTTAACAATCCATTAAAACAACATAGTAGTTTTTTTCACTGGAATATAGCTGCAGGTGCCGTGTACGTACTACATAAAACATCAATCCCCCCAATACATTTTGTCATTATATTGATTAACTCAATATTATTACACTGCATAGTACCTACATGATATTATTTTACATACATTTTAAAATCAGACGAAGTGACATAAATACCATTTATTGTAGGTACAAATATTATGTGTATAATACTATAATATCACGGTCCTCTCGAATCTCGATAGAACACGAATGACATAGGTACCTACCTAGTTAGATTAAATGCAGACATTTTATAATCAGATTTCAATGCAAACGAGAAATATTCGAATAGTTTCGGGCGATTTGGAAAGTTCAATAATCGATTGCCGCCACAATAAAACAAAATACACTAAAAGCCTATACGCGTCGGATCCACGCACTCGTCAACAAAATATATAATACCGTTTTAAACATAAAATACGGGAAGTAATCGGATAAAACGATTGTACTACGGTCGATTGTTAAAAAGTACTTTATTTTAATATTAAGTCTGCAGGACACGTTGGACTATTACCACTGCATTTCCTATTTATGCATTATATATTATATTATAATAAGTACATATATTAAAATATATGCACGGCACACCGAACGTTTTCGAAAAATCTAACTAATGGTTTTTAGGTCAAGTAACATTTGTCACCTTCGTTCTCATTGTGCGATTCTTGACGGTGTAGGCAGAGAGGCGCGCGCACCAGATGCCCGCTGATTTGCTTCGGTAACACGACGAAGCCGTAGACGTATATAGGGGGGCGATCGCCCTGGGCGACAATTTTTTTTTGTTGGATATTATGTATAGGTATATAATTATGTATCACTGTTTAGCCCTCGTTTATGATCCGAACTTTAATAAGTAATTATAAAACATTCATTTTTACCACATTAAACATTGATTTATTTCGTCTCTCTAAATCCTATTGTATTACATCAGATTGTTGTTACATATGGAAATGTAGTGAATAAATGTTTATTCTTCTTCGTTTTGTTGAGTGAAATACACTTGACACAAATGTATTAGTTTTTACCGTAAAAAGTTGAAGAGAATGGGTGGCGGCAGCAAAAAATTATTGCGACCACTCCTGCGGAACACGTGAGCAAACCGTGGCCCGGCATCGAATATTAGCGACGACGACAACAACAACAATAATATTGTCGTGTCGCGTGTCTTCGCCCGCCGCCAATATACAACGGCATTATACGTACCGACCGCATCGCGACAGTAATACAATACTACTTCACGTCATTGTATAGAGTATATTATTCTGTTTTACGTGTGCGTCGCTCAAGCACACGCCATATTATTATATTCCACGCTCGTCGTGTAGGAATCGGACACGCGAGTTTTTCCAGTCG